TATATACTTTTATTTTTGTTACAGCTGATCTTGCATCATACATTTGATTAACACGGAGGAGCTTAGGTAGAGGTAAAATTAGTTACTTTTTAAAAGAATAGCCTTGTTATATTAGAATTCTTTACTGATTTAATGAATTTTTTATTGGTATTACAAAGGATATAAAGGCCTGAGTGCTTATGTTAGTTTACATCAGAAAATATTTTATTGCCTGATTTTTATGACCGCAGTTTAATATGTAAGTGCAAAAAGCTCAAATAATACGTAATATGCAAAGATTTGCATGATTTTCTTTCAATAATAAATATTATTTAAACCCTTTAAAATTAGCAAAAGATCATTTTAATTGCCATGATACCATTAAGTTAAAATGTGATACATCTTAAAGTGATATACGTAAAAATTACAATTACAGTGCAAAAAGGTCATATTTATAGTGCCGTTCCTAGTAAAGTACACATCGACCCACAATTTGGCATACGTTAGATACGACAAAGAAAGGAAAACACAAACACACACTCTCCCTCATTGCGTTTTACGCAATATTTGCAGTTACGAAGACAGTCAATCAAATTCTGGCACATTGATGCATTTTTATGCGGCTGATCAATACAGAGAATATTTAATTCCCATCATCAATGAAGTTCTGATTAAATGATTAAAGACATTGAAGACATGAGGTATTCAATACGCGTTTGTATGATGTATATATTTTTTCATATCTTCAGCTTGCCAGGACATTGAACTTCTACGAAATACAATTTTCTTTTTTTATATCATCTGCATTTATAAACATAATCGATCATCAGCTAAAGGCAAATGAGAAAGCAATAGCCTTTCAAAATAATTCTAAAGATCGCTTATTGGATAATATTTCAAATAAAATTCTTTGAGGTGATTTTTAATACAATACCAGCAGAGTTATTGGTTTAACTTATTTTAAAATATGCATACCAGATCAAATGAATAAAGTGCAAAACACGTTTGTTAAAGTTCAATGGTAATCGATCAAAAATAATTTTGTGGGGTGTCCCATTCTTTTCATGTTTTTATTAGAATTGACAGACACTTTTTTGACCTATATTTTAGTATAAATATGAACATTTGTCTCATGCAAATCATTTGTAAATCAATTAAAGGTAAGTATAATCAACATTCTCAAGTATTTTGTAGTAAGTCTGCTTAAGCGTCTTTTATCTTTACCAAATATTTATGTGTGTAAGTAATTATTTTGTTATGAAATACATTGTTGTATCCACTTAAAGACTGTAACTTATTAAAATAAATAAATGCTAAAGAAGCGTAAGCGAAAGAAAAAATAAAATTAAAGAAATTTTTTATCGGATAATAAACAAGTATTTACCAATCACTATTTTTTTTTTATTTTACATGTTCCAGACCAATAACAAAACTAAACTAATTTTGTCTTATAGAATAGACGACCTCAAAACAGAGACATGTCAAAAACACTGTTATATATAGCAGTCCTGGTGACACTCTTCCATAAGTCATACACTCAGACAGAGTTGAGACGTGTCTGTCGACCTTATCAGCTAGATGTAGGAATCAGACGAGGGCCCCGAGACAACGAGGCCACCCACACCTGTATATCTGGCCCCCTCAATGGTAGATGCTTCGTACAAGGTAAAAACGATATTGCATGAGCTTTGTCGATATTTTCAAAAAGTATTTCAGCTATTCTTGATTTAGGACCCTTTCATTTTTCCAGATGGTCTTTGTACATGGAAAAGAAAAAAATGCATTTTGGGGGTCATTTTTAGATCTTGAATGAGATAACATGAACATATACGTAGACTGTTTCTTTGAAAGCATTGCCGTGAAAAGTCCTATTTGTCTTTTAAATGATTTATGGATATTATGAAGTTATCTTCAAAAAATAAAATAATCAAGTTTGATACATTTTAAAATCATGTATACATTTATAATATTGCATAAAACACAAATAAATAATACTTTGGACTTTGCAATAATTTGTATAGATTGTTAACTTGTACTAATAAAAACTAATCTTACAGATGTTTAAAGCAACAACAACAACAATTTAATAATAATAATACATGTAATAATAACAATAATAATAATAATAATAAAATACATGTGCAATGTACAACAGCTCAAATATTAATGTTCAAAGTTTATGTAAATGTTTTTATCCTGTAAAATAATGTAATTTCTTATTGAACAAACTAAGGAATCATGATTTTTTTTATTTATTAAGTACCCTTTCAATACATTTCAGCTGTATATTGTATAAGATTTCTGAATATACACCTGAGGTTTTGGTAAAAATCAAAAGTGCGAACAAATTAACATTGTCTGAATATCTCTGATAATTAGAAACACAGGTGTGATAAAATGTTACCTTAACTTTCAAGTAAATGTCAACTTCAAAAGATTTTCCTGTTAATAAGCGGAAAATCTTGTTAGAAAAATCTGTTCTGTCACCCACTTGGTTATTTTAGTCTATGATTTCTTGTCGAATAAGTTTGCCTTGTTTTATTCATATCTTTATGCTTTGGAAAAATTGTTCTTTGGAGCTGGAAATATTGTTCAATCTGATTAAAGACTTTTTTCAGAGTCTAAAGATTGAATCATGATATATAATATCTTCAGATAAAGACATGTCGATAATATTATAAGATATAAAAAGAAATACTGAACACTGTCAGTTAATAAACTGAACTGTCCAAAGAAACACATCGACCTGTCACAACATCCGTGTGATTTTTAATTTGTATTTGATTAAAGAAACAAGACAATTTTTTTTATTGATAATAATTACCGATTTAACAAAATCATTCAATTTCAAATTCTTCTTATTATTGATTATCAATTTGAAAATGCATAAAATGAGAATTAATTGCATTACAAAAATTATATTTCGATTTGATAGATGCAGAAGGTGGATTCAATTGCACAGATAACTTTCAGCTTCAGGGTGGTCTACCAAATCGTCAGTCCCTTTGTTGTGAGAAATTAGGTATGTACAAAATATTCTTGCTTACCCAAATTTGCTATTTAGTGCAATATACATGCAAGAAATATTCAAAATTGATTTTGAAATTTTTAATTCCTGTCAAAGTGAAATGTTCGATCAATTTTATACATTCTCGTTATAAACGCACATTTCTAATTTATACACAACATTTACATTCTCATTGATAGTTAACAGTACGTTTCAATATTTTAATTACAGGTTTTCAGTTAACTGGCTGCTTCGTACCGAGGCAATTGTTTTCATTTCAAAGAGGATTTAACATACAGCGACGCAGATCGGTCATACGGAGCATCATCAGGTTTTTTTTTCTTACTAACAATCTTTACAATATTCTTTTAGTTAAATCTTACTAACCTAAAACAAACTTAGTAATCTTTTTCTTCTGAAAACTACATGGACTTGATACAGAAAGAAATAAAAGGTGATCACAATGACTATCAATGGATCTCATTGATAGGGAAGAAGTGAACTCTCTATAGACAGTTTAGTTTAAAAAAAAATGCTACTAAAAAGAGATGGAACAAAACATCATTAAAGATTTTTACGATAATTATTTAGTATGATTTTGTGTAAAGGTAAAATTAACAACGGTTTACAGAAAATAATGAAAATGTATCATAATGTTCAGCATTCTATTTGCAGTGTCCCTACACCGAGGGATCAAACGACCTTTGCTGTGGAGCTATGTTTTCTCCGTAGAAAACGACATTCATATTTCCTCGGATAATATTCATTTTATGTTTATATGTATAATCTTGTTTTGAAAAGTTACTATCTTTTGTATCTGTTATTGAAAAATAAATTTTGTATTTAAAACAAAGTTTTCGGTCATTAATAACAATTTGAAAAACGCATCTACATGTAGGTCCTGTAAATTTTCAAGAAATTCGGACTTATTCTGTTAATTAACGTACCGTTCATGTACACATGAATACTGTAACACCATTATGGCTGTCACAGTACTGAATCTGTTGTATGGAGATCAGATTTCGAGTAATTATTAAACAGAGAAAGATAATCATTTTTTCATAGTTGGATAATAGTCACTTTACATATATTTCACTTACTTTGGTCGTCAATACGGTGAATATGTTGTTTTACTCTGGAGAAGGCTACAAATCTCAATTTGGAATATTTGTAATACAATTTTTAGGGTTTTGATTATAAGTTGCTCAACTCTCCGAAAAGAGAAATTATTTTCATCTGTAAACATGACTATTCCTATATTAAATCATCAGGATGAAAAGACTATTTATCTCACAATCTGGTGCACATGCATGAATGTCCTGAAATATTACATGTTGTAACATATATTTTATTCGAAAAAATGTTGCAAGACCATAAATGCTAAATCAAATTTTCCATAGATTAACGGGTTTTTATAATGAAAGTGAAATATCTTTTCATGTAAATAAAATGCAACTTTTCTCCACATGACTACATTTTGTTTCTTTTTACTAAACGACATTTACATATTTTACACATGTCCATTTTAGAGGTAATCAAGTTACATGTAGCAAAATGTTCCCATTGTGCCGTTTGAATTCCGACATCTGACTCATTTTTTTGGAAAAGAAAATATCAGTTGCTTTTAATCAATAGATAAGCTGATCTAAAAAAGACTTTAAATCACGAAATCTTACATTAAGCTGAAAATATATCCTTCTACGCGAGGATATTTACATGTAACAAGGACTCAGAGCATTTAAAAAAGTAACCAGTTTTCCCCGAGAAAAGCATTTTTTTAATAATATACTTTACAGGATTGCTTTTGAACTTGAGTTTTCACAAATGTACTTTAAAGTAAGAAAAACACTTTTTTTTTTATTTAAAAGTACGATTAATTTCTTTGCATAAGAGTCTCTCACTTCTAAAATCTTGCTACACTCTAACACGTGTACTTTTGTTTTTTTTTATTTTGCCTTTTAATATTGAAATGTACTTTTACTTTGAAATCAGGATTTAGTACATGTGCCTAAAAATGCCTAAAAAATAGAAGAAAAGAAAAGCAATTGTCTGGAATTATCCTAAATAAATACATAATTTTTTTGATTCAAAATTGTTGTTCAAATTAGTTCCAATAAAAAGCCTTTTTCCTCTTGTTAAAAAATTAAACACACTGAGATACAATATGAAAGAAATGTTAATCATCCCCAAAAACACAGTTATTTTTATTATTGTTATTACTGTAATTATGATTTATTGAAATAACATGAAAACACTAAGATTATTCAAAAACATGTTTTATGTTTACTTTCCTCTTCATGTGATAAACTTATCAAATGATTTATAGCAATTGTTTTATTTTTAGATAAACGAAAGAATGATTGATATATTTAATGTCATTTATCGTTATTTTGCATTGTTAAAAGTACAAAAACAATTAAATACGTGCAAACAGTGTAATCTGAATGCATTGTAAACGTTCCAGATACGATCTGCTATACACTTTCCTTCTTTAAATTGGTAATAAAACATTCATATTTTTAATTTTGTTCAACACTTTATACATGTATACGCCTTTACATTTAATTCTTTTGTGAAAAGAAATTAATACATTAAACGTTTTACTTAGAAACATCGTTATACAACAAACAAAAAATAATTTAAAAAAATGTTATGAACTTCTTATTCTTTAAATTTCCCTGATAAATGTAAGATAGAAAATATTTTATTAATCAACGTATATCACAATGCGGAGAAATCATGAATACATGTACATGTGTAAAAAAAAAATTGGTATCTTTTATGGCAACATTCGAGAAAAACATGTACAAAGGATATAAATATGAAAATGCAGAAAAATACTCCTTTCTAGAAATAAGAGTCAGATATTTAATTACCCTTAACGAATTCACATAGAAATCTCAAGCTGTGCTCACAATAATTATCATTCCATAACCACCCCTCCATCCCTGCTAGTTCCAGACAGTTTTCTTGTTCGAGATAATTGTTTGGTTCATTTTCTTTCCAGTTGAAGAATGTTATATTTGTATTTGTAGACGCCCACTTCCAAAGTCCCTCGGTCTCTTTGTTTGTGCCGCCTACCCATACACCATCTGCGTAAATAAATCTATAATTACATATGTGAATAAATAAATTAATATAGTAATTAATAAATGTGGCGAAATCGAACAGTATTCGAACTCAAATGTCCATGAAACAGTACAAAATAGAATTAGAGCAAACAGGAATTACCTCCAAATAATCAGTGGTGGGATCAGGTGACATGGAAGAGTGAGCATCCCCTACCGTTTATTTAACGTTGAGCTTCAACATTTAATACCTTCATCACCAGCATACAGCGTTTATATCTCTCAGTTGATACGATACACAAAAGCATGCTCTACAAATGTACATTTTCTTAAACGAGGTAATTTATTGACAAACAAGTTGATGAAACAGGAATATCAGCAGTCTCGTGTAAAGTCATCATTTCGTAAGTTTTATGGTCACTGCAATGTCCGTGTCAGCAAATGCAATTTATCATTGAGTCAAATGCTGACTGACGTTTTTCATAATTGTTAGTCTATTATGTATACACTGAATTGACGATGGATTTTTTCGTTATTACCCGATCATGACAAGGAGCACACCGCGGGTGTGACCAGTAGGCAGGGGATGCTCACTCCTCCATGGCACCTGATCCCACCAACGATTTTTTGTAGGTCCGTGTTTGTTCTGCCCCCATTTTGTACTGTTATATTAACTTTTCAGCTAGCTTGAATGTTGTTCATTATCTCCCTATATTCCTCATTTATATTTTTACGACACATATGGTTAAGACATATTGAGGTTAGCTTTTTTTCTTTTGTGTCTTTGTTGTTTAACGCCTCTCTCCAGGATTTTCACTCATATGGATACGAGACTCTTACAATTATAATTCCTACATATTCCAAATAAATATATTATTTCCAACCATCTCTAAAAAAGCAATCAAATTAATTAATTTGGAGTGTAAAAAGGTTACCCCCAACGGTGGTTGCCTCACTCAAAGAGTTGTTCACAATAAAATCATTCTCTTTTTCGGTTTCAATTTCTGCTAATTTTCCACCAATACCAGAGCACCAAGCCTACAAATTAGAATAAGTTTAAAAAAATTGTTACAACTTTTGATTTTATGTTATACGTTAGCCTGGATTTTTCTCACACCAAAAAATACATGACTTTTTAAAAAAAATCATATTCCTGTAATAAAATTTATAGCCAACGACTGAAAACCAAAAATCGTCAATAAGTCACCTGAGACTGTGTCCAAGTCAAACGGCTGAGAAATGATATGTAAATGGACCTTCCATTGGTTGACCATAAGTGTGGAGACTCTACAAGAAACCACTCGTTAAGTAATATACAATACACTCTGTAGTTTTGCATTTTAATTATATTATGGCAATTTTTTCCTAAGGAATGATAAAAAATTCAATAATTATCAAAATTAAAGCTTTATTTAATATATATTTATTACTTGAGATAAAATGTTCTAGTATAACGACATAGGTCAAAGCCCTGTATAAACCTTAAGAATATCTCAAAGAGCATTTTTGTCTGTAAAAACCTATCTGTTCATACTAAATATACATACAGTAAAACTCGTTTAGTACGAACATGGATATTGCGAATTCACGGATAAAGCAAAGTTATTTTGGATCCCTAACTATATGATTTTCATGAATTCCTTATACGGATAGAACGAATTACGGATATAACGAAGCGATTTCATAGGTCGCAGAGACTTCGAATTCGTTATAACCGAGTTTCACTGTAATTTTTTTGTTGGTGCCGAAGGAATGGAGACATACCATTTTTGTTATGAGCTATAAGCTTTTAAATGAATAAGGACCTTTTCTATCTTTTAATATTAAAAATACTGAATAAAAAGATAAAAATCGACCTACCAATTATATTTTTTAAACGGCTTGTTTGCAGCTGCAGTGACTGGTTTAGTTCTGTTAAAAATGTATATAAAGTGTAGCGTTAAGAAAAAAAAACATGCATCATATGTATTAATACAGTGATGTACATTGTAACATAAGAACTTAATAGCGAAACTCTATTTCGCTAAAAACAAAACAAGAAAAGCACCCCACCCCCCTAAAAAAATGAATAAGAAAAAAATAAAAAATTTTTACACAAAATGAAAAACATGGCAGATAACTTACCGATGATTCTTTTCTGATCCTCTAGTACAACATTGTTTCCTATACCATAAAGATAAAATCAAGAACGAGTACAGGTAAAAATATGTTACAAAGTCAATAACATGTAGAGACCTAACACGGAGTCATAGGGGGATGAAATAGAAATCCCTACTGGGCTGGATAAACCAGAGTCCAAACTCGAATAAATATATACATTTTTTTCTATTTTAAAGACCAACGAGCTACAGTTTTGCATGCAGCTAAAAAAAATGAGCATTTTTAAAAGATTTTGATATCAAGTTTCAATCCAATATCATTCAACATAAAGTATCATAACAGGTAAGAGGAAATTTAAATAACTATAAATCTGCCGCCATTTTTATTTAAAACATTCCTAAATGTAGGACTGCAATTCTTTTTTTTTTTTTTTTGCTTATGAATATATACATTGAAAATAGCAGGTGTTATATTTACAGTGGACACCCAACATGGCATCCAAAACAAACTTCAGAAAGTTGTAGGGGGAAACAGTTGTTACACTAATGATTACTCTTTATATTTAAGGTAAATGTCAAGTTTTAATCCATATTTATTCAACACAAAATAATCAATAATCAGCTGATTGATCAAAGAAGTTTTGCCATTTGTCAGGAAAAAAATCCACCGTGTTGAATCTACTTAAATCAGTTAAGCCGAAACAACATATTTTTTTTTTTTTTACAATAACAAAACTTCGAACAGAATGCCGTGCCCGATTTTAATATCACTCCTTGACGGAGACATAAAACGGAAAATTCCATGATGTCATGTGATTAGCTTTTATCCATTCAATTACCTACAAATTTGTCTGAAGTGCATTCTGTGCATTTTCTTTGTGGTGACTATCGGTATTTGTAAGAGTAGGTAAACGGGGTGTTATTCTTTCTCAAAAATATATACTACATAGTGACATTCTAAAAAATCAAGGTCTTAGATTGATATACAGCATTGACTGTTAATCCTGAGAGAAAGATTTTTTTCAAAATGTTGTTCGTTTTGTATTCCGCGTATCCTTGAATAGTACAATGTATACCTGTGCATTTGAAAAAGAATTTTCATACCTATTAAACTTCTATAAATGAAAACAAGGGCATCTTAACACCTGAAACTATTTATTTGAAACTGTCACGTTAAAATAAATATAATATCGTGAAGACGCAAGTGTTTGTTTTCTCTTTAAAGGACACCTAAAAAATTTGTTACCGAATGTGCATTTTAATTTCTTTGTCAAATAACAAGTAACTCAACCGATATTGCAAATTTTGAAAATTAACACTGAACAGGTGCCTTTAAAAATTGCTATTACTTCATTTCTGTCACCAATGATTTAATAGAGGAGGACTATGTTAGAAAACATGACATAACTCACCATAATTATTATTGAGCTTAACAGCAAACAGTGATGCCATCGTTACAAAGCCGACAATGAGACATATACTGACGAAAATAACAATGCATGTTTTGAGAGAAACTCTTGGTTTTTGAGATTTTTTAGGTTCATTGCCAACGACAACACCGTTCTTTTCCTTTTGATATGGTCTTACAGGAAATTCTCTGAGCTAAAACAGGGATAAAACACTCAATGTATAAAACATAACGGAATTTGTTAGTATCTACATTCAAGAGAAAACTTTACATTTTATGCTAATTTCAACGGACATATTAATATAAATCAACATTTACACGAACATAAATGAAAACTCCATGCCTTAAAAAATATAATCAAACCAAAATTATGTGATTTATTTTGTAAATATTATTCTACAAAAGCAGCTAGTAAATAGGTTATTTTACATTGTTTAACAATATAGTATATGAACTTACCCTCTCATATCTTCCGACATCTTCCCTTTTCTTTAGGCAAAGAAAATTCAATAACATAAAATAAAAGGTACACCAAAAGAGGATTTAAATAAAATATAGTTTACACCCTTTTTGTCATCAGTCTTTCTGATTCATTGATTGTATGTTGTTTACCGTCCCTCTCGAAAATTTTTCAATCATTTGGAGACGCCACCACTTGCCGGCGGAGAGCTACATTTTTTGGTCCATTACCCTGCACTTTGGGTCATTGAGCAGTGAAAATATTTTTGTGTCAGCACCTACTGTGACACAGGGCCTCGGTTTATACGGTCTCATCTCAAGGATCAGTCCCCAAGTGGGATTCAAACCCGCGACAAAAGGATGAATATTTCTTTTTTCGTTAAAAGTTAGGGGAAATGCAAAATTTTATTCAGATAAAAAGATTTCACTAAATCATGTAACAGACTTAGAATATATTTGTTCGTCTTTAACGAGTCTTTAAAGGTGAAATCACTAAATTTTGATGGGGTTTAGTTTTCTATATCCTCGTGGAAAGCAGAGACCCATGAAATACATGTAATATCACCCATGAACTGTAATTATTCTTCAAACCACAATTTCACAGTCAGAGTACACGTACATATAGCTCAGTCTATGGAGCGGTTGCTTCGTATTCGGAAAATCGTGGTCCCGAATCTCGGTCGCGACTGCCCTATGTCGCTGGAAAAAAAAATAGGTAGCAACTGTTCCTTCGCCATGCGCTCGTTGCCTTAAAGGAAGTGAAAGTTGAGGGTCATTCGGATGAAACCTAAAAAAAATGGGGCCCCGTGTCGGGTAAAAACGTTGATACGAAAAAGATCTATCACTGCTCAATGGCTGCAAGTTTTGATCATAGGTCAAAATTTTTAAGCCTATAAACGGTACATGCTGAAGTCTCTATATGAGTGAAATATTCTCCAAAAGGACGAACAGCAACAAGTTTTCAACAAAATTATCAATAAAAATATCAAACCACACATTTTATTCTTCTCGAAATAATTTTTTTTTTTAATTTTAATTTTTTACAAGATTTTTCCACTGATTTTTGGGGTACAATTTACAAATTTAACTGATTGCTTGTTCAACTTCATTCTCGAAAAAAAATCTGCTCATTTTGATATCTCACCATTTGCCTGTAGAGGTCTGCAATCTAAGGGCCTTGTGGAGTACATATGTTATTTCATGCCAGAGCTTACTGCGAGATGGGAGTTCTTTTTCAACAGTAATGTAATTGATAAATTAAACTGAAGAAATTTTCCTTTAAACTTTTTACGCTGAAGATAAACTGCAAGGTACAAGAATACCGAACATGAAAAAGAAGAAGGGATTATAGAATAGATGAAAGTCATCCGAGCCGAATTACATTAGTGATATTTTAAAGTTTTATTTCATCTTGTTGCATGTACAAGCTAAAGGCTTAGAACTACTATTATGCTTATTCCACGTGTGGATTTTTTTTTTAGCTTGAATGCTGTTCATTATCTTAATATATTTAATGCTTTAACTTTCTTTTAAAATATCTTTATGTTTGCCTTCCTTTCAAAATGTATAATTGGTGCATTTATAGAAAAAAAAAATCATTTTAAAAAGTATTTTATGTACTAGAAATGTCCATATTATGACAAAAAATATAGTTTACTGGGATGTTGTAAGTATTTATAGATAAAACACATGTTAATCATAATTACCTAAACGTAAGTGGATTTGCTTTCCTCTATTATAATTTGTCATAGTGAAACCATCATTATATTGTGAATTCTAATTTATAGTCATAGACTTGTAAATGATAAGAAACTCCGGTTGTTCACTATCAGTCTAAAGTTTTTAATCAAAGATTTAGTCATTATAAGCCAAAAATTTTGAGAGAAAAAAAAACATTTGATCAAATAAGAAATGTGTTGCTTTCCAGGTCTTAATATTCAATTAATATAAGTCCTGATGGTATCACAAACCTTGAGTGGGACGTAGACTGAAGTAGTATACACTTATCCTTCACAGCGCAATAGATAGTTTTCATATGACCTAAATTTAGCAAAAGTTAGCTCCCCTTGTCCGCCATACTGGAGGTCCAAATGCTCATATTAAATCCTTCATTGTTCAACCAATTTTAAATTTTTATATTTGCGATTTTTAATAAAAACAAAATGGCGGCGGCCAGGAATCATGTGCTCTCTTTTTTTGGAACTCGCTACAAGAATATAAATTTTTGAGTACTACCACTTTAAATGATATCTTTGCCTCGATTGTCAGTTTTATTATGCTGCTCATCGATTAAAAAAATATTTAACAAAAAATAAAAGATACTTTAATTTTTTTCCATCAAATATTTGAATGTTGAAAACATAATTTCTTACCGCCATGATTAAATATGGTAAGACGGTAATATTGCAAGTAAAGGAAAACATAATTAGTCTAGTCAATCTTTTAAACGTAATTATCACCATAAACACATGTCTAACTTCTGGATAATTACTTTTATGCAATTTTAACTAACTAAAACTAATTTTAAGAAATAAATACATGTACTAAATGAAAGGTGGGACTTATATCAGTAAAATACCCATTGCATGGACTTTATCAAAAAAATTAATTCCCATTCTGTTTCAAAAGTCCTATATTGTTTAATGTAAACAAAATACTATTTTCCACTTTTCAAATTTCAATTTCAAATTTTAATAAGAAATTTCAATTAACATTTGTTCTTGATTTAGTTCCTGTTCACTAAAATGTTTCACTTAAATTACAAATGTACATGTATTCAGATTCATCATCTTTGTTTGTTTGTTTTTTTTGTTTTAGATTTAAAAACCATAAAATTAACCTGCTCAGAAATCAAATACAGTGTAATCTAACAAAGTTCATGGTTTCATAACACATATAGTGTAGTTTTTAAAATTTTAACATGTTCCATAACTGAAAAAAAAAAATTCTGAGAAAATTAAAAGAGCTTTCTACACAGTGTATTATATTATAAAATACCACTTGAGTTGTTGTGCATCAAGAATGAAATTTAATTGTAAAAGATTATAAATATATATGTTTAATTTGATCATGTATTCAGTCATATCCAAAAAATCGGAAAAAAATAAAATAAAAAAGACATAAATACCTACCCTATTTTTTTTAGGCTGGTAGCAGGAAACAAGACTATTATTTTTTTTTGGCCTAATCCTTCATTGTTCAACCAATTTTAAATTTTTATATTTGCGATTTTTAATTAGGAATCATTTTTTTCTGAAGAATATAAATTTTTGGAAGCCTCCTTTATTAAGAAAAAAATATTTAATAAAGATTTTCCATCAAATAATAATTTCATTAAACTTGGTAAGAGAGAGAGAGAGAGAGAGAGAGAGAGAGAGAGAGAGAGAGAGAGAGAGAGAGAGAGAGAGATTATATATTAATCATAAGCATAAGTGTATTTAAAATTTTAACAGTAGAAGAGAGAGAGAGAGAGAGAGAGAGAGAGAGAGAGAGAGAGAGAGAGAGAGAGAGAGAGAGAGAGAGAGAGAGAGAGAGAGAGAGAGAGAGAGATAGAGAGAGAGAGATTAATTCTATATAATACAGTTTTGAACAAACAAACAAACAAACAAACAAAAAAAAAAAAAAACAAAAAACAAAATAAAACAAAATAAACAAACAAGAAACAACAGCAACAAAAAATAGTGTTTGCTTGTTTCTTGAGGTACAGATTAAGTGTTTATGTACTGAAACATTTTACAGGGGGCACTGACATAATCCTCCGTCATATTTTCTTTCCAAGTCAAAATGTTCTTGTTTTGCTCATTCCGTTTTAAATCTGTTATAAAAAAATTAATGCGTTACATTTTAAATTTTTTTATGTGAAAAATAAAACAAAATTAATTAAAACATTTTTATTTTAAAGATGTAGAGAAACAACGTTTTAAAAGGAAATTTGGAATATGCAAGTTGAAAATGAAAACAAAAATTAAATAATATAGAATACAATTGATATTCAGTAACTCAAGCTATATGTTAAATGTTCTTGATTTTAAATAATTCTTGTCTGAAGAGTGGACAGATTAAAACAACCAATGTTTCTTCGTAGGTACAGGTAATAAAACTAAAATTATGGTCATCCTCGTCATTTACATGTTAATTTAAATCGGGTCATGTAGTGTCATTAACATTTTAAGAATAATAGACATTTTTTTACAAGTTTATTAGGAAAAATAATTTATTTCCATAAGCTTCAAACAGGATAAATATAAAAAGAGGTAAATAACCTTTGGCGTCTGCATTCATATGTCCATGGTCTCACTATAATACTTAAAGAAAACGGAAGGAAAAGGATAAGCTTAATTTATATCCATGACTAATTGATTATTTTTATGTGAAAACATAATACATCCAATGTTGTGTTCATATTGACTATGTACGCAAAAAAAGAATGTAACCGACCTCAATTTGCTATTCCCCCCTTTTTTTAGTTCACTGAGTAAACTCAGGTGACCTATTGCTTTCCTTTTTTGTCCGTCGTCTTCCGTCGTGCGTTAATACTTGAACATTTCAGCTTCTTCTCTGCAACCGTTTTACCAATTTCACAAAGCACAAAGCATCTGTGGGTAAAGGTAAACATTTTTTTTTTAATTTGATGGTCCCTGCCCCCTGGGGCCTGAGGGGTAGGGCCAAAACCACTAAGATGAATGCAATCTGTAAAAATCTTCTTCTATACCCTTCGACATCAAGCAGTCAAACTGTTGGCACGATTGTAATCAACATTTAGTCCCCTACCAAAATTTTGAAATTCATGGCCCCAGGGTCAAGAGTTCTAGTGCTAGGGCGGGGCTAAATAGATTATATAGAGAAAATGCATTAATTCATAAAAAATTTTCTTCTATGCTCCCGAGCATTAAATAACCTAACCAAGTAAATAGTTATATTAAATAAAGCTGCCTCTTCCAAAATTGTGAATTGAATTTTATGGCCCCCGGGACAGTGGATCTGGTGTTAGGGCCAGGCTATATTGATTATGTAGTGAAAATGCATAATTTAAAAAAAAACCTTCTCTTCTGCTCCTGGGAATTAAACCAATATACATAGTTATAATGAGGAAAGATGATTCTTCCCAATTTGTGAATTTTCATGGCCCCTGGATCAAGAGTTCTGGTGTTAGGTTGCGGCTCGAATGATAATATTGTGAAAAAGCAATAATTCTTTGGAAATCTTTGAGTTTCCGAGAATTATGCCAATGATCTAGGTACATATCTACGATGAAGAAAGGCGCTTCTTCTAAAATGGTTCATTTCAGGGCCCCTAGATTTGGGGTTCATCGGGGGCCGGGGTTACCTAGTCTGAAAATAAAGTAATGCTTGGAAATCTGCACTTTTGTGTTCATCAACCATTTATGATGAAAAAAAAATTAAAATTTCCAAAATTTTGAAATATGTGGCCCTAAGGTAGTGGTTTTTGTGCGTTGGGTGCACAACTGGTGGTTATCAAGTAAGTGAAAATGCATTTTCTCATTGTTACTCTGATCTATCAAGTAACCAAAGTAAGCATGCAAAGTGTATAAGTGCATAGAATATAATGAACAACTCCGGCACCTCTTTCAAATTCTGAATTTCATGGCTTTTGGTTTAAAACACAAACAAAATTCAATTGTATGGAAGTTGTTACATGATACTCAGGTGACCTATAATGCCCGGGGACCTCTTGTTTTATATTAAATATAATTTGTTAGGAAATCTAAAACTAAAGTACAGCTGTATGCTGCTCAGATTAAAAAATAAAGTTTAAGGTCAGACTTTATGCTTTGTATCTCTTGATATTATATCAAAAAACATTTAGATTTGTCATTCTCTTCTGATTTCTATATCATTTTCAAAATGTTTTTAAATATAAGTACACTAAGTTCTTTCAATACAATTTTTAAAGCAAATTGAATTCGACTATTGTGATCACTACACACTTCAACAAGTATCCTTTCTATTAAGAAACTTAATTCTAAATCACATGATGTTGATATCCTACGAATATGTCAAATAATTTCTTACCTGTCCATGAGTTTTTTTTTCAAAAGATTTCAAAGTGTTTTCAGGATATTGCACAAACAATCAATTTATCGGACTTATATACTTAGTGGCAGTTGTAAAAGCATTTTTCAAGGGTAAAATAAAAATATCAAATTAAATCCTTCTCTCATAATCAAACAATTAACACAATTGATTATTTATTTTTATCATGTTTCTCAGAGTGCGCAATTATATTTTTCACCAGTTTTAACTGGTATATAAGTGGTATTTCCTGTAAAATATCCTAAAGACGTAATTATAAATTCATTATCAATACAAACGCCTTCAAAACACACATTTAATGACAGAAATGTCCTTCAGTTTGTCTTAAATAGCCATTCAATTCTTATCATTGATACTCTGATAAGAGAGATAACCCTTAATGACATAAATGTAAATTATTCCTATATAGATTTGCCTAGTTGAAGCAGGCACGTAGTATCAGAGGGGGCCTGGCCCCCCCACTTTTTTCCCCAACATTACCTTTACTATAGAAAATGTCTATTGAAAAGATGGTTGACCCCCCCCACTTGTTGCCACAGTATAGATATAGCCAGAAATGATAGGAAAAAATTGGAAGTGAAAGGAACTTTGCCCTGAAAAAAGTTGGCCACCCCCCCCCCCCCCCCCCCCCCCCCCCACGAAATAGAGTTTTCGAGTTCGGGGGCATTTTAATTTTTTTTTTTTTTGCTTATCACTTTTTTTAGGTAAGTAAAAAAATTTTTCTCAGGTTGGCCCCCCCACTTTCAAAAACGATGCTACGTGCCTGTGAAGTGTCTTTTTTGTCCAAATTTGCCCCGCAAGCTATGCTATATATTATAAGTAAAATATATATTTTTTTGGAAAACCATTAAGGTGCAAGCAACATTTCATATGAGTGAGCAGAGGGTTTATTATCCTTAATCCACGTACCAAGGAATTCACTTCTATAAAATATACGACAGGAAGGGACTATCTAAGTGTGTTTCAAATAATCATAGCAAGCGTCATTAAATGTAGTCAAAGATCATTGCTCCAAATGGATATGGAAAGGTGTTCAATATTCAAAAGATATTCTGTTTGGATTTCTTTTTATTTAAAGCAAAAACAGAATGCAAAAATAAGAACTAACTTAAAATGTGTGTATGTGTGTGTGTATTGTTGGTTGTGGGGGGTGTTATGTAAGATTAACTTACAAATGAGGTTCACTCGTACTATAGACAGGTCTAGACGAATTCTGTTTTTGGAGGATAGATTTACCCTCTAAAAGCCGAGGATAGAGGTGTCGCCACCTACCGAATTTTTCCAAATAAAGCACAGTCAACTCTTAACCAAACAAATTACAGTGACTCTAGCATTTATAAATCATGTAAATGTAATATAAAGATCAATTTTCTGTATAAACAATTTTGAAAATTCAAAAAATTAAAAAAGTGCCGTTTTAACTTTTCTAAAGTGCCGTTTTGACTACTCTTAAGTGCCGTTTTGCATATTTCCAAAGTGCCGTTTTCACCAGGTGCCGTTTTAACTTGTATCCGTAAATCATATGCTGATTTTTGAACTAAAACAAATAAAAGATAAAATTTCATATGATGATGGATAAATCTTGATATCAAGCCTTTATAACTGTGGTTTTGTAATTGTTGTAAATTAACTACTCAGTTTAAAGCATAATTTTCAATAATTTCCTTAATCAGTAAAATAATTACCTGTCTAAGAGATAATTATAACCAAGCTGATTTTCCGCTTCCCTAATTGTTTTAAGTTGTTTACAAATTTTAATACGGTACACATTTTTTTTTATGAAAATTCAATTTATATTTAATTTGTTTGTAATAAATTATCCTAAAAGATTATACTCTATACTTGTAAAAGATATGTATTTTAATTTACATGTGCATATGTATGTGAAGGTATATTATGTCCTTAATTCCTAAGTAAACGTGTTAGGTAATATATCTTATTATGTTCCCCAAACGAAGTTGGGGAACATATTGTTTTTACTCTGTTTCTTATTATTATTATTATTATTTTTCTTCTTCCTGGGAAAAACGAGTGATCTTGTAAACTACACATCCGACTAAGGTAAAATGTTTTTAGGGTCAGTAGACATGTTATGTAGATTTGCCGAACGAAGGTCATTTTGCGCGCACGTGCTTGCAAGAGCGCGCACGTGCAACACATGAAATGACCAATATAATGGATATTGCTGTAACTTTTCTTTTTTTTGATGAATTTTTTTGAAACTCATAATGTAAGGATATATTAGTAGTATAGACAAGATGGCATGGTCAAAATAGCATATTATGCTCTATTGGCTGAGACTAAAGTCTCAATATCTTTCTTGTTTCTTGTCATAATCTTTTGAAATTTTGAACATAGTCCTACATTATGAAGATCTACAGCATGATATATAAAAATTTTTGAAAGCATGCGCATTGCTGCAATCTTTGGCTGAAAATTTCAATGGCTATATCTCCTTTGCTTTTTTACGAAATGCTTTGAATTTTAAAACATAGTCATGCAGTAGGATATCCTAAAATATGATATAGAAAAAAATTCATGAAATCACGCGCATGCACGTGTGCTGCAATCTGATTGGCTGAAATTTTAAATGGCTATATCTCCTTTGTTTTTTTACGAAATGTTTGGAATTTTAAAATATAGCCATTCATTTAGATATCCTTCAATACAACAAAGATAAAAATTTATGAAATCACGCGCATGCATGTTGCTGCAATCTGATTGGCTGAAACTTCAAATGGCTATAACTCCTTTGTTTTCCAACCAAACAGGATGGAATTTAGAACAAAGATAAATATAAAGAACTCCTACAAGAAGGTGTAGTCATTATGCAAAATGAGTGTATTTTTTAATACTTTTGGATTAAATGCTTTGATATTAAGTATATTAAAATTTTAGATAGTTAGACAAGATAATATCGTTACGAACATGAACACGCAATGCCTATTTTTAAATATATTTTGTATTTTTCTGGGAAGACCTTGATTAGTCCAAATTCCATAAAGTATTTCTTAAAATAGAGATTACAGGGAATATGGCACCAAAAGGGAGTTCGGGAGCGTTTGGGGAACATCTGTAACGGTCCCCGTTACAATTAGCACTAGTTTATTTATGCTATTCAAATAATTCAAATAATTTATCTTTTTATTTACATTTTTCTTTCAATCCATTCGCTTTTTTTATTTATAAAGGAACTAGAGCATATTATGCCTCTAACATACGTTTCATTCTGTGTTTCTTTTTTGTCAGTATTTATTTAAAAGAAAATATGAAAATTTTATTATTATTGTCTCTTTTTATTTGTCTTGATAGATATAAAACATAAAAATAAAACAAAGTACAAAGAAATATTAAGTAAAATTCGAGCAGAAGCAGTGCCATGGCACTTGCAAGTTTGAATGCGCTATTGGGGGATAAACTAATGCAAATAATTTTACACTTAAAACTAGGCAAACGGGACAAATATGTGAACAGGGTATAATATGTACTTTAAAAAACAGATAAAAGAACTGTCAAACGTATTTTTTCTAGATAAAAAGTCATCTATTTATCAACTCTGCAAAAATTCACATAGAAATCTTCTCCTGTTTTCACAATAAACATCATTCCACGCCGATCCAAGTTCCAAACAATTTTCAAGTTGGAGTAGATTATTTGGTTCACCATCTGTCCAGGCAAAAAATGTTATATTTGTGTTTGTAGATGCCCATTTCCAAACACCCTCTGTTTCTATATCTGTTCCCCCTGCCCATACACCTGTATAAATAAATAAAATCAAGAAATGAATAAACAAATACATATATAAAAATTGATAAATTGGTTAACCAATTTATTGATTCTTAATATTTAGGATTTTCTTAAAGCACTAGCACTTTTGTAAAGCAATGCAAATCTGTAAACTGGCCATGAAACACGGACCCTCTTATATTCTAGAGATAATAAATAAAGGAAACATACGCAAAATGCCATTCTTAAAGCTGAACATTATTCGTAAAAGGAATGTTTTTGCAATAATCGATAGGACTCTCGCTTTATCTGAGGGCCCCTATATATAACGATAAAGCGGCTCACTTAGTCACTGCTCTGTGTAACTAGTCGTCACCGTTGTAGACGGACGTATGCTATAGTACATGTACATGTAATACATTACTCAGTAAGACAAAAAAATTACTGTATACTTCTTCTAATGCAAGAAAGAAAAATACCGAAGAAACATATAATAGTTACGCAGGTCAGTGCAATATACAATGAGCAAATACATGTAAATGCAAAAAAATGTGTACAAAGGGAATGCAAAAAAATCTGGAGGAACACAGGTCGCTATTTCACGCCATACCCGTGACAATAAAACAGTTACACTCTACGTGAAACGAATTTGAAGAGTATACCTTGATGCTGATATCGTAGATAGTAATATCAAAAACGGTGCATGTCTTTTACAAGTCGCGTTCAGCTTTATTGACAAATCACAGTCTCAAGACTGTTACTTAAAGCGTATTTGACAATTTTAGCAAAACTGAGGCAACAGGTGTGTAAGCATACATGCAGTGTGCATCCTTAGATGTATCATCAATGCAAGTTTGTTCATCGGTTTATGTTACGATTAAAGACAATATAACTATAGTAAACATGTAGAACTTGTTTAATCATTGGATAAGGTGGAATTTTAGAGTTTTAAAAAATGACGGACTAACAATTCGTATGAGACATGTCAGCAATACAGCTCTTACGATTAAAAATCCAAATAAATCAGAAAAAATAATTTACTTTAAACTGTCTTTCAAAAACCAATAAAGTTGTTTCATTGCAATGTCAAAAAGAGTACAGTGTACCTCCAATGGTGTTGGTCACACTCAAAGAGTTGTTCACAATAAAATTATTCTCTTCTTCTGTTTCCACTTCTGCTAATTTTCCACCAATGCCAGAACACCAATCCTATACACATAAGAGAAAAATTCAAAATATTTCATGACACAGAATTTTATGGATGTACATATCAAATTTATTTCATGCGCGAGTCGAAATTTTTTTTTTTACTCGTAAAAATATACGATTTGTTACAAATGTCCTATTAGTGTAGTGAAATTGATGTCCAGCGCCTTAAAATTGAACAATCTTTTAGTCACCTGAGACTGTATCCAAGTCATTCTTCTCTGAAATAATATGTAAATGGACTTTCCATTCGAAGACCATGTGTGAGGAGTCTCTAAAAAACACATTCAATATAATTTATGTAAATAATGTAAACATATTAAGTGTTATAATAATAAAAAGCCACTATTGTTTAAAAGTATGAAAGAGAATTCGTTCAACCGATAATAAGAAAAGTTAAACAAAATTGAATTTCATGACAGATGCCCGAAATTCATTTTTTGAAATGTTCTATTTGAGAGACATAGGTCTTCATGAATATAAACCGTTCAAATATTTTTTTATACTAAATGAAAGCTCATCTGTGAATAATTGTTGTTCATTTATGGGGGGTCTGTGTTTAACGAGAGAAGCATGAAATTTATTGTTTTCTATAATTAGTTTATTTTTTTTTTGATTGATTGATTGATTGTGTACTGTTTAACGTCCCTCTCCAAAATATTTCACTAATATGGAGACGTCACCATTGCCGGTGAAGTGCTGCAAATTTAGGCCTATGCTCGGCACTTACGGCCTTTGAGCAGGGAGGGATCTTTATCGTGCCACACTTGCGGGGCCTCGGTTTATATGGTCTCATCCGAAGGATCGCCCCATTTAGTCGCCCTTTACGACAAGCAAGGGTGTACTGAGGACCTATTCTAACCCGGACCCCCAAGGGGAATTTTTTTTGAAAATAAGACCTGATTTTATATGAAAAATACTGAAAGAAAATAAGAAAAGTGATTAAATACTTACCGATTATACTTCTTAAACGGCTTGTTTGCTGTTGCAATGACTGGTTTAGTTCTTTAAAAAAAATATAAAAATGTAATTCAACATTTTAAAAAACACAGAGTACACGTACTTGTATGTTCAATACTTATTCGAAATCGTAAAAACATGGCCATTTTAAGTCTATATAGCGAGACTTCAGTTATTCAAAATAAATTCGGAAAAAAACTCACCAATATTTTTCCTCTGATCCTCTTGTACAATTATAGTGTTCCCTATTACACAAAGATATAACAAGAAAATGAGTAATATAATATTAACTCTAATATATTTGTTTTGTTTTGACTATCAGTATTCCATTAAAAGGTGGAATGGGAGCGGTGTTGGGAGATAGGTTCTTGGAAAATTCTTTTAATAACCTTTACTTTAGTCAAAAATCCTACGTTACCCCTAAATTTGACTAAAGTGCACCAAAAACATTGGAAGGAAGGGTCAACTGGCCTATAATGTGTATTTTTTTTAATAGTATATTACTTTGTGTCTTAAAAAGAGGGGGGATAAACCCTGCCTCCCTACTGCATGTACGAGCATGTAACTCACCATAATTGCTATTCTGCTTAACAGCAAAAAATGATGCCATCGTCACAAAACCTCCAATGAGGCAAATACTGGTGATAATGACAATGATTGTTTTGATAGACACACTGGGTTTCTTATGTTTTTCAGTTTCATCGCCAACGACAACACAATTTCTTTCCTTGTGATTGGATTTTTCATGGTTTTGTCGGAGCTTTTAAAAACAAAAATCATGAATATGCACTATGTATAAAGCAGAAAAAATGAGAAGATACATTCAAGAATAAAAATTAACAATTAATATTAATATAAAACATATATCAGTATGGAGCAAAATTTACGTGAACATGCATTTAAATATCATGCCTAAAATGATTAATTATTACAATAAAAAACGAGGGGTGATCAAAGTGTTTGTGAACTAATTAAATAACTTACAAATCTTTTATATTGTGTTTTAGTGTTGAATTTGCTAAAAAGAGGTCCTCTTTGATTTTTACGCTCATCTGCAACCAATCTGCCCATCCCTTACAAAAAATACTATAGTAAACTACAGTAAGCTATAGTTAACTATAGTTTACTATGGTAAATCAAAGTTCCAAAATTTACACCATAGTAAATCAAAGTTCCAAAGTTTTTACTATAGTAAATCAAAGTACCAAGGTTATTACTACATGTATAGTAAATCAAAGTTCCAAAGTTTTCACCATAGTAAATCAAAGTTCCAAAGTTTTAACTTTGGTACTATAGTTAACTATAGTAAAGTATAGTAAACTATAATTTACTATAGTTTACTATAGTATGTTTTTGTTAGGGATGCCCAAAACACGTTATCTAGGCGATCATGTTTTGTAGCATTCATCCACAGAAGCTTAAAAATTTTTCCGACTCTTATATTTCTTACTACTGTAAATCATTAAATTTTCACGACACCTTATTTTCGCGAGATAGTCTTTGACTCTTGATTAGCGAGACAAAATTTTCACGAATTATGGCTATTGCTTTTTATAATCTTTAGGAAAACTATTATACGCGAAAATTAAATTTTCGCGAGCATACTGTTGCGTAAATACGCGAAAATCAAGTTCTCATGAATAAAAAGTGATTTACAGTATGCAAGTTGTTTTTATTTCTAAAAAAAACAATCTAGCTATTTGTCTAAAAGACAAATTAAGGCGATAATATGCGTGGATAAGGAAGTCATTTTCCAAAATAAGCATGCTGACCATCCTAAGCCGAGTCCTCTGCAGCTATCTTTGGAGGGTCGTTGATTCAATGTGGATAAACTATGGGTGGCTCTTTTTTATCATATCTGATATGTTTAAAGTCTAAAGTAAAAGATTTTTTAGGAATTTAATAATTATATCATTGTGAAGATATTCAACTTTTTCGCGTATTGTAAATTGGTGATCTTTCATATATAATATTCTTAATTAAAAACACATTCCTTCCCAGCTTGATTTCAAGGGGGAGCAGAACAAAGACATTATCTTTAAACACCTCCCTCCCTTCACTAAAACAACAAATCCGATTAATAAATTAACTCATAGAAATATTTTGTCTTCATAAACCGCGTAAAATTTACTATGTACTACTGCAAAGGATTTTCAAAGATACATGTTTATCTTTACAGCCCTTCAATGATCGATAAAGACCGAGTCAACCATTTTTTTGCCAAATGTGACCTCTATATTGACGTGATTTTCACATTCTGATGTCACAAGATTTAATTACTTATGCTATTTATAGAACATGCATGGACTATTTGTGTCAAATTTCATTCGGATCTGAATTGTCGTTTTTAAAATATAGAGAAAGCTCGCGAACTTTTTGATCTCCCATAATATGATAAAATTATTTCAAAAATTATTTTACAAAAGCAGTCAATAGAGTAAGCATTTAACAATTCACTAAATATACTTACCATGTCATATCTGCCGATTTCTTCCCTTTTCTTTCATAAAAAAATTCACAATTAAATAAACATATTATAGGCTACATCAAAGAGGGTTTAAAAAGTCATGTTTTAGACATATATTGTCAATCATTCATGGAAGATTTTTGCTAAGGTTCGTGTAAATGCAACTTCGAAAAGATTTGACCAATATTAGAACAATAAATGACATCATGAGCAAAGTGTAACATTTTTAAGGATAAGAAATAAAATGATTTGTTGTTAAACGTCCTTTTCGAAAATTGTAGTAATGGTAGTCGATTTAAATAAATGATACTTTATTTATATTTAAGCTTATTGCATATACTATTTTGACTCTACTATATAATTGTGTTTATTTTACATGTTAAAACCTAAACTTTCTTTCCAATATTCATTGCATTACTTTTTAAGTGTACTTACTATATACTGTACGTGTACAAAAATTTGCCTATTCAAATATTAGAGCATTAAATTGGTATGGAGCTATTGGCGTTATCATGAATTAGCGCTACATACATGTATATCCGTGCCGTGTATAGATAACTGATTTTTTAGCGGTATTCATGAATTGTCCTCACCAAAGCCGCTTAAATATGAAGCCCAATTTTTTAAGTAAGCATACAGTATTTGATTTTTTTTTACTTTTTATACGCAAATATTCATACAGAAATGAATATTCATATTATGACAAATGTATTGTTTTCGGGGATGTTGAATGTATTTATAGAATTGACATAAGGTCATGTTATATCATTATGACCTTAATTTAAGTAGATTCATTTTCCTCTTTCATAATTTTCATCATCGTGAATGGTTTATCATCATGACATTGTAATTTATAGTCATGGACAATTGTGGTCGTTTATTGTTGCCATAAAGTAATCATACGTTTAAACAAAATATAGTCTAATTTTACCTTTGACAACAAACAAATAAAGCTATTCTGTCAAAGAAGAAATGTGTAGTTTTCAAGGTCTTAATGCTGCATTAATGTCTTCTGATGTATCAAAATGTTCTTTAGAAGTGCGCATTAAAAAAGAATAGTTTCAATGAATTGATAATTTAAAAGTTTTAGTCAATAATAAAAAGGAGAAATATTTGGCTTCTGAAGGCATGTAATCATAAACAAACATAACTGACACAACACTTACCAGAGATTCATATGGTCTATCTTTCCAGTCTTGTAAGGCTACAAATGCTGGGCGCGGATATTCATCCTGGATTTCAACCTATTGTAATCATAATAAACAATAAGATAATGAAGAGAGAGAGAGAGAGAGAGAGGGAGAGAGAGAGAGAGAGAGAAAGAGAGAGAGACACGTAGAGAGAGAGAAAAAATTACTAAATAATACAAAGTGTTGAACATTGTATAAAACACGGATCCCTGGGAAACCCTGAGTTAGGGTTAGGTGCCTTGTAAGAGTAACTATCCCTTGTGTACTTGTCTCCATCACTTTGAGCTCTATGCATTGAACAAAAAAACCGATCAAATCAGAAAAAAGAAAGAAAACCAAGTAGATATTTTACGGATCATTGATAACTACACATTTAAACTGTTTATATCCCCACTGTAAAAGTTGGAGGGTAAATAGTGATTGGGATGTCCGTCTGTTACCTCTATGTAACTTATCTCTAATCTGTAACTCTTCTTATACAACTGAATGAAATTTAAGGTCTTTCCACCCTCACGATATTAATGGTTAAAAGTACAAAAATTTCATTCAATAAAGTTTAAATTAACCAATTATTGCCAAAAATGTATAGGTCGCCATATCATTCAAGATGGGAGACGTAAATAAACAGAAGCATATATGTCAACATAAAAATTGTACATAATATGTTTACAGTATCATAAATATTATGTAAAAACATATTAAAATGCATAATTCTGATGCTGAAAGTTCCTAAATACTGTAAACCAACTTTTATTCGCGACGACTTTATTTCGCGATTAACCAGGGATAAACTAGTTCGCGACGATTAATTTTCGCGATCAAGCCTTTTGTCATCCGTTTTTAATAGACAAATGTACTATAAGGACTGGTTCGCGAATAAAAGTTGGTTTACAGTATTTGCTACATAAAAGATACTTTTGAATTGTGAATGTCACAATGTTTAATGCTTATAAGGCCTTTCCAACGTTTTTCTCTGTTTAGCGTCCACCCATCTTTCTGAAAACTACCTACCTAGTCGCAAAAAACACACAAGCCAAAACATAAAACACAGGCTTAAAAGTCATAAAAATGACGCCCTTCAAATGATTTGATCTAACTAAACTGCGTTAATAGAAGAAATATATATTCTAAGCAAAAACAAGGGATTAAATGCTTGAAATACACCCAATATAACTTTACTGTACATAATTATCTGGAGAAATTGACAAAATTAAAAAAATTCGACTAAATAAATCAATTTCAGGACTCCTGATGTTGTGTGTGTTTTCTTATATGGGGTGTCAAAAACCAAGGCGCACGCTAACGCTAAACATAGAAAAAACTTGGAATGGCCTTATTAACGAATTTTCCGTTATTTTGTACGGCGTAGGCGTATACAAGATGAATATCGATAAAATCCAACTTAAATTGTCAAAACAATCAATAAATAAACTTATAAAAACTCATTGAATGTTGTTTAAGTCAACAAATATCATTAATACGCGTATTCTCCAGAATAATTCGTCCTTGACCATGGCCATGTTGACATTAACGACAACGCTCATAGCGAAAGTTGCATACCGACGACGTCCCCGATTTGCTATGGTTCGTTCAAAGAGTTAGGGAGAATATGGCATCTATAGGATGTAAATATATGAATTTGATGCTGATAAGGCAAGAATCTGAGGTACGTTTCTTTTCCATATCACAACGATACCAACTGAACTGATATGGAACGTCGAGAAAATGACAGCATGATCAGCGATTTTTTAAAAATTCACACTCGTGATCCGACAGTGACATGTTCATAATATTCCCGTCTCTCAGTCCTGTTTATTTCCTGTTTTGCTTTTTTTTTATTTCAAGTTTCTTGTAATCATAATTTCGCTAAAACGAACTAGAAGTATTTGTTTTCATTGTTTTTACAACAGCCTAGAAACTAGGTAAAGAAAGTAGTTCTGATTGAAAAATTCATCGATGTGTAAACTTTCTTTTTTCTTGAATTTGTTCTCATCCAATCAAAACACAGGGAATCAATAAATTAAATTTAGATTGAAATTATTTATCATTACACTTATGGAAAATCATTCTTCCAGAATATATTGTTCTATTGAGTATGCATTTAATTTAATAACAGTGTTTGTAAAAACCTATGACATCATAGGAGGGTGAAACTACCTGAACGAGACTCTCAGAGAATCTAAGTGTCATCCGCGTGCACCTCTGATTTTTACTTTTTGATCGGACACATTGTTTGAGTTTCCCATGGCAACACATTGGCACTGCCATTCTATCTTTAATATTGTAGAGTACCCATCCTTAACCCGCAACTCTTCTTATTCCACTGAATAAAATTTAATTAAACTTTCAATTTATTTAAATTACATAATATCATTGTGCACTTCCTATTCCTTTTTCCATCTAAAACTTATATCTGGTCTCCCAGAGCAAAACATGACCTTTATAATCATATGGGAGGCGGTGGTATCATTCAGAGAGCTCAATTCTCGAAGTACACTGTACCTCTAGTTATAAATGAAAGAGTTGACTGCATAACGAATGAAAAAGTCAGTTTTCAATAGATAAAGATACTTGTTACATGTCACATATATTCATGTTTTTAAAGTTCTTGCTTATTTGCTAGTTTGCTGTTGTGCACATTTGCTTTTTTATGAAAACATTTTACAGTGGTACTTACATAATCTTCATTCATATTTTCTTTCGAAGAAAGCGTGATTTTGTGTTGCTCATTCCTCTTCGAATCTGTACTAAAGAAACAAAAAGTATCAACATGTTAAATTGCAGTTTAAAATATGCGACAAATTAATAAGTAAAAATACTTTTCGTCTAAAGATAAAAAAAATTGATTTAAAATGCAATTGTGAGTATGAAAGTTGACAGTGAAAGCAAATTTGGAATAAAAATACAATTCAGCTACAAAAACTCGAGATCAACGATCCTATCTAAATGGTACATGTTCTTGATTTTTAATTATTTTAGTCTGAAGAGTGGACAGATTTAAATTAAAAATACAAAGAATGTTTCTTTGTAGGTAAAGTTCAGAAGACTGAAATAAATTTTAGGCCACCTTTCTAAACTACATTTGAATCGTTTGAACTAGTGTCATTTACATTTGAAAAGAATTATTTTTTTTATTTAAACGTTTCGAAAAAAAAGAAACAAAATCAAAATTCCACAAGGTTTAAACAAGATACAATGTGAATAATATTTTAAATTACCTTTTGAGTCTGCACTCATAAGTCCATTGTCTCACTATATTACCTAAAGAAACCGGAAGGAAGGAAAAAGCTAAATTCGTCCGTGACTAACTTTTTTTGTGAAAGCATACTACACCCAATGACTCTCTAACAAAGAAAGTGACCGAGCTCAGTTTGCTATTCAATTTAATAAAATGTAATCTGCGAGGAAATCCGAATTCCAAAACTGAATCTGTAGGGCTCAGATTAGAAAATAAACCAATTATGAAATACACAGACATATAAGAAGAAAAAAATGTAATAAGTGAAGTCAATTGATATAATTTATAGAGAAATGTCTTAAAAAAATATTTCATGACATTTAATAATGCTGACTTTATATAAGAATGTAAAAATTAAATTCATCTCCAACAACCAAACAGTTTAAACAAGCGATACGAATCCATGATTTCTTTTTATTAAAGCCTAAAGAACATGTTACATGTACATGGAGTGCGCAATTATATTTCTCACCAGTTTTAACTGGTCTATAAGTGGTTTTTCCTGTATAATATCCTACAACTCTTGAAAACGTACACGAAAATGATAGAAATGTCCTTCACTTCTTAAATAGTCATTGAATTCACTTAAAACCTTGAGTCGCGTACACTCAGGCGTCTTTCTTATACCAAGTACGAAGGACTCACTTTTTTATGACAAGCAGGGAATAGCTTAAGGGTGTTACAAATGATATTTACAAGTGTCATTTTGTGTAATCAGAGGGCATACCTCTAAATTTGATGGATATAGAGAAGGTGGTCAACATTCAAAAGGATTCCGTCTAAAAAATTTTAAATTCTAGAACAAAAAAAAAAGATGTATTTTTGAGAGGGAAGGGGAGCTTTTATATAATATGTACATACAATTCAAGTGGACAGGTACTTAACAGGGGAATTCAGAATCTCACTACCTAAACTTATCAAAAAAAGACTCTGATGGCTCAATTAAAATATAAATTTACGGAAGCCCATTTAGGACCTATCAAAAAATATTTTGGAATTCGTTATAACGATTTTAAGAATTCGTTATAACGAATTTAATTTGTTATAACAGATTTATTGAATTCGTTTTAACGAATTTAATTTGTTATAACATATTCATTGAATTCGTTATAACGTATTTAATTTGTTATAACAGATTCATTAAATTCGTTATAACGAATTTAATTTGTTATAACAGATTAATTGAATTCGGTATAACGATTTTAATATGTTATATTATATAACTTTGTGAAAGATTGGTGTATGAAGTACTTTTTTTTAATAAACCGCTGAAAGCGAATAATTCGCAGAGCTGCCTCGTTTTCACTTTCGCTTCAGACAAACATGGAAGGTAGCAAGTTGTAGGTGAAGAAAATTTAAAAGATATAGTGAAGAACTATGAGGCTGATAATACAAAAAAAAATTACAAGGATATCTGTGAATATTTTTCGGGAATACAGTAATACTAAGCAAATTTCATCTGTAATAACAGTGATTTGACGGTGTTTCGTTATAAAAAAATGTAAACAAGCATGACATGTCAGATTGTATCTTATCTTATAGACAGGTATTTATAATTTATCAATGCATTTATTCTGCAAGTGTAAACGACTTAATCTGTAATAACAGATAAAATCTGTGTTATAACGAATTCAATCTTGCAAATTGTTATGATATGGGTTAAAATTTATTATGAAACAATTTCCTCTGAATAATATTCTAAATAATAACAAATTAACATTCAACTTATTTACGACTATTCAATGTAAACATGTTATATACAAATTAAAATTAAATTTGGGAAATTAGTATTTATATAATATAATAAATATGGATATACACGGTCAATATGCAAAAATACTTTTTGATAGGTCCTAAATGGGCTTCCGTATAAATTATATTGTTAAACAAATCATTGTAATAATTGATAGATGTGTAAGAACTCTTCTTGACAAATTAAATTGTGTTGCTTTGATGAATCTGTTTCTAATTTTTACATCAAGAATATTTAACGAATTTCTGTAATAACAGATTAAATTCTTATAACATTTCAACAAATCTGTAATAACAGATTAAATTCGTTATAACGAATAAATCTGTAATAACAGATTAAATCGTTATTGAATTCAACAAAGAATAACAGATAAAATCCGTCATAACGAATTCAACAAATTGTAATAATGATAAAATTTGTTTATTCAGTAAATCTGTAATAACAAATTAAATTCATTATAACGAATTCAATGAATCTGTTATAACAAATTAAATTCGTTATAACGAATTCTAAATATCGTTATAACGAATTCAAAAATACTTTTTGATAGGTCCTAAATGGGCTTCCGTATAAATTATATTGTTGTCAAAACAAATCATTTGTAATAATTGATAGACATGTAAGAACTCTTCTTGACAGATTAAACTGTGTTGCTTTGATGAATTTGTTTTTAATACATCATATTTATTTTCAAATGTACTTTCCACATTTTTCGAAATGGAAGCGGTTTTTGATGCGCATTATGTATCGTCACAAATCTTACAGTAAATTCTTTATGACAAATATTTGGAAGAAAACTCTTTATTAAACCTAACACAAATAAAACATTGCAAAAAATTTAAAAAGATGAAGAGAATGTTTTCCTTAATGCATAAATAAATATTTTGTATGTGTAAATTTTTTATTCAATTCAGATTTCTATTATTTTAAAAGAAAAACATGCGCAATGTGTTTCGATTTTTTTGTGTTAAATGCTGCATCATGTGGTCGTTTCGTTATATGTAGTTTACAATACTCTTACATTATAAGATTTGAGAGTTTATAGAAAAAATCACGTTAAAACGTTAATGTATACTTCATTAAATGCATCAAAATCCTGTTTCATATCATGTTCATCATCTCAATTATTTGAATATGCATGAAAATTTTCAAACCTCTATTCATGTAATAATAAGACTTAAATATACCTTACTGGGTTTCTATCATGATAATTTTATGTATCTCAAATTCATATATGTATCTCAAATTCAAATTGGAAATTTAACTATCCATCATTTTGCCTCACACATTCACTCATTCCTTATGTCAATTTTTTGGGAGAGGGACAAATCATTCATTTCTTTGGCTGTCTTTTTAATATCAGCTCCTTTCTCCAAATTTTCAAAGTCTAAGGACACATGAATCATAAAAATGCATAAAGATGAAGACAAATGTCTTTGTAAGAATTTTCCTAAATGCATAAACAAATATTTTGTATGTGTAATTTTATTTTATTTTTTACAACTCAGTTTTCATAAATTTAGGAAAGTCTGCGAGAGAAGCATCTTTTTGATAAAGTAAATAATGGTTTACAGAATGAATTGATTTTAAGTTTTCGAAAGAAATCTGAAACTTTGATTTATAATTTGATTATTATTTAATTTCAATTTCATGTGTCATTTCCGATAATGTTATGAAAAAAAAATTCCGAGGAACAATCGGTTCAAATATGGAAAAAAAAAATAAATGAAATTCAAAATAATTTTTATTGAGAAAGTGATGTAAGGAATGCAAAAAATATAAATGAAAAATAATGAATAAGTACATTAAAAAATAAATTTTTCATGGTAACAAAAATGTAGATTCCCTAAAAAGACAATAAACAATCTAAATGAGAAAAAAATATCAATCAAAAACATAGTTTTGTTAAATTTAAAATAATTATACTTAAACTTTAAAAATTCAACATAAAGAGACAATCAATCAATAACAATTAAATCAGGATTAGATGTTCCGAATCCGCCATTGATTTTTGGAATAGCAACATTTAATACGACTGAGAATTTAAACAAATTCAAGTTTGAAAATAATCGCATTGAAAATAAATATTATCTATGAAATGGAAACAAAAGTATATCTGCCATTTGGGCATGGTAAAGGAATATAAAATATAAATAAAAAAAAACCAAAAGAACAAAGAAAGTAAAACAAATTTCATTTGAAATTGAGTACTGTGTAAATCTAAATTTAATTACTATGGATTGTTTTTATTTTTTAGGCCACATCTCATTTCAAAACAAAAATACTATGACTCATCAAAAATAAATGAATATCAAATAAAACAATTAATACATGGTATATATTGTCTTCTGAAAACATAGTTAATGACTTTTGAGGGTAATCTCCCTTTGACTAGAAATTGGCGTAAACACTGTCATTTCTCAAATATTCTGCAACAGCCTCATGACAAAGCTGATATTCCTCCTAAATCAGAAAATAATTAAAGTGCAATAATTATGTTTTTTCATAAGAGTTTTTTTTTTTATTTCAAAAGGATGTCGTTTATGATATTTTTAATAATCAATTATCAAATAAATTTGTCTTCATTTATTTCCATGTGAAAATCTATC